AAAAAAAAAAAAAAAAAAACCGGTGCTGATAGTCGAAGAGAGATATCTATACTATTACTAAGAAAAAATTAGAGTTGATAATCAAAATAAAAACATAAATACTTTGAACGAATGCCAACCTGTAAATGTTGATGAATTTTTGAAAATTCCCGTGTTGAAGCTAGCTCAGATCGAAGAATTTCTTTTTCCGACTCGAGATTCATAATTGTTGCTGCCTTCTGTTCTAAAATTTCATTAAGCTCTTTCACCTCCTTCTCTCTGATCGAGAATCTGAAAAAAAATACAAGGAAGATGATGTGACACTCCTTTTAAATATTTGCATTTGATTAAGCCAGGAACTAATTCATAATGCATAAGTATTGAGACTACACCTGACAATGATACTCAAGTACCTTTCAAAAGTTTCTAGATGAAAACAGCACAATGCATCCATTGCACCATTCAATAAAGAATGATTTATTAAAAACACTATATAAACAATCCTTTTGATTATAAAAATTTGCATATTAAAATGATGAGATCGAATAAATCACAAAACGCCCCAATCAATCCTTGTAATAAGAGGTTCCACAAAATAAACTACATTTTAAAAAAATGCAAATTTATAGAACATATTTCACAAAAAAAAAGTCTTTCAATATTGTTGTAAAAACAAATAATAATCAGAGTACTGCTTGAATGTTTCAATCCATGTAGAACTATTTAGTTTCTAGGAATAACTTTGTCCTAAATAGAACTAAATGCCACCTACAAATGAAGAGATTTTAGAATGACATATCTTTCATTTAAACATTAATGAATTTAAAAAATCAAAAAGATAACCTTTGGTTCAATTCGATTATTTTTTTTTCCCACTCTTGCAGCTCTAAACTAGTCTTAGTCAATTTCTCTTTCATAATAATATTCTCACTCAAAATTTCTTCGTGGCTCTCTTTCATTGCTGATATGCTTTCATGAAGTGTATCTACTTCAGTTTTATGTTTCTCCTGAAAACACCTTGTGATGTAATGGAGGAAAAAACCGTTATAAGTCAAAAATATTCGATGAAACAAAAGCAATGTAGTTTTTTCCCAAATATATTATCCTAAATTTAGTAGCATGTTGTCATTATAACATATTATTAGTACAATTAAGCCTACATCTCAAAATTTTTTTTATAAAAAATTTTAAAACATTCAACTTTTCGTAATAAAAAACTTAGCGAAGAATCAGTTGCAATAATTGGTAAGTATACAATATTTGAACAAATTTTTAACCTCTATTTGATCCAAAATCTTTTGTTTCTGAGTTAAATCAGCTAAGAGTTCACCATTTCGATCTTCAAATTCTTTGGCTCTTTCTGCCTTACTTCTCTTGAACTCTTCAAATTGCTCCTTGAGTAACTTATTTGATTCTGTAGTTAACTCAAGATCCTAAAGTATAATAAAGGAAAAAATCTCTGCAAATCAAGGAAAACATCTCTGGAAATAAACTGAATTCCAGTGGCATCTCACTTTTTGGAGTGAAGCCACAAGTTGTTCTTGCTTCTTAGTCATTTTAATACATGTTTGCTGATGGCGTTCTTTATTTGCCTCAATAGAAACGCAGAGCTCATCCATTTGCTGCCGATGCCTTTCCTTCATGTTATCCAGAACTGATTGCAAATGCAGTTTTTCCTACATATTTTCAATCATTACGTTATTTTCCCTCACTATTATTTTTATTATGCTAATACATTGAATATGAAACGATTCCTTACACACCCGAATCGGAATACAATGAAATTGAGAAATGATGAAAATCGATATGTTCAATATTAATTAGCAATACAATCTGCAGTGCTAACCGCAGTGAGTTTTTCTACTTGTAATCCTAGATCATCGTTTCTTCGATCATGTTCCATAACAGCAGCTACTTTTTGCATTTCTCGTTCTTCTATGGCCAACTGCATTTGTTCTTCTTGTTCTCTGAATTTGGATGCCCAGAACGCATCCTACAAAAATCAGGACAAATAATAACCTTTATTTATCCCATGAAGCAATAATCTTTACCTTAAGAATAGTAGTAAAATAAACCAAATATACATTTGTCTTAATCAATTCCTGAAAACGTCGCTCATCTTCTTCTCTTTCTGTAGCTCGCTTCTTTTCCATTTCTTTTATGAGTTCCTCACGCTTTTCCTCTTCCTCACAACGAACCGCTTTAACACCTTGTTGTTTAGCTTCTGATAATTTTTCTACCATATCTGCTTTCTCGTTTTCCAATGCGTCAACAGTTGCTTTCAACTCATCAATATGCTTCAGAACTTCTAATCCTGTTATAAGAAAACTTCAAATAAATTTTAAACAACACAGCAATTTTGGAAAACGTCGTTAAACAAAAATTAAAAATCTCTTAAAAACACACATAGCTAGAAAAATGATTAACATGATAAGCCGCTGAACTTCTTGCCTTCAGAACTATGAACCAAATTACATAGATGCATGATAAAATTTTCTGAAATGAACGGAAAAATAAAAATTAGCAATTATAGAATGTAAAAATACCATTTGTTTCTAACATTTTTGATTTGGCGCGAGCTGCTTGTAGTTCAATATCTTTTTCATCTAATGCTTTATGCATTTCCGCTTTAACTTTGGCTATAGCTAGTGTGCCACTGAAAAATTCAACATGACTGACCAATGTTTTGAATAATTTATCCCACACCTTCTAAATGAAGGACTATATAAAGTAGTAACTGACGCTTCTTCACAGTTTCGAAGACGTTCAGTCCATTCTTCATTTAGACAATCCATTCGACTTTTCCACTCAGCACTCATTCGCTGGACTGCCAGGTCACTGATTCCTTGCTTAAATAATATATCATCCATATTTATTTCTAACTCACTTTAACAGCAGAATAAATAATTTCTTTACAAATATTGGGAGGAAAAACCGGGCAAAAATAAGACGAAACAAATACATCAACTCACTTCACCATAAGATGTTTCAAGACTTTTTTTCAGTTTTTGATTTTCTTCCGTAAGTTGCGAAATTCTTTCCTCATTTTCTTTGATATTTATATGACATTTTTCAAGCATTTCCTGTAATTTCGCCACTTTCCCCTTTTCCTGCACTTCTTTTCTTGGAGCTTCCTGTATAAAGAAGAAAATATCATTAACAGGAAAATTTTGTAATCTAAGTTTGACTAGATTGAAATCCACTAAGACATGAAGAGACATTTTCTTGCTCTTTGCCTTATTCCTCAACTCTGCAGTCAATTGTGATGTGATATTTTATACCCCCTTTTCTGTATCCAACTCGTATTCTTGAATCTTTTCCATCAATTCCCGATTTTTCTGCCGTAAGCTCTCAATTCGATTCAGAGCTTTATCTTGTGTAGTAGCCAGAACTGACTGTAACAAAACAGTTGTTTTAAGTTTAGTGAAAGCAGATATTTCTCATCCTGTCTCTTTGAATAAATACTTGCTTGAAGATTATATTTTATCTCTTTCTTAATGTTATTAAGGACACATAAATCCTTGTACTGTGAAAAATAAAAATAAAAAAGAAATAATGAACAAAATTTCAGTTTTTTCATAAACTCGAAGACATGTTAAAAGTTGTTATTCCAGCAAATGTAAACTATAAATAGTCTTGCCTGGTATTTCTCACTATCTCGCACTAAATCGTTGTACATATGTACAAGCTTTCGATATTTATCTTTGTAATTCGCTGCACGGCCTTGTAATTTATGAAGAACAGTTGAAATCTAAAAGCGAAAGAATTCAGTTCACACCAAATAATCTATCAATAATCTGACGTAATTTACATAATTTTTTGAATTTCTTACGAAGCAGACTATTCCGTATTAAAAACCTGTTCTTTTGAAGCACTCTGAAACTGAGATGACGTGGCAGCACTTTCACTTTCTATATCAGATGTAATCGTATTAAGTCGATGTCCAAAATTTAACATCCCAGGCATAGCAGAAAACAAATTACCCAACGAACTAGAATAATTTTATACAAAACTGAATAGTAATTTCAAGATTGATGCTACAAACATTAATTAAGAGAAGATTAAAAAGTAATTGTATGAAAAACGCTTTGGAAAGAACATTTTATTTTCACATCATTAACTGTCATATAACTTTCAAATGTTTTTCCTGATTTTATGTTAGAAATATATCCTAGAACTGAATGATAATGAACCTTTCACTTTCGATAGAATTGCTTCGTTTCCGTGACCAACTGAGCAAGTCCTGTTCTGGAACTTCTTGCATCATAGCTGAACTATTAGGATTTTGCTGAAATCTCCGAAATTTTTATTAAATCAGCTTTTAAAAGAAAAATACAAAAAAAGCAACAAAAAAAATTACCGGTTTTGATGAATCATAACCTCTTTCAGATTCATCACTATAAAGATTTGGAGAAGGTGTCAGCGAATTTCTCAAAGTACTACTGCTGCTAAATAAATGCCGAGTATGTCCACTTGCATCATTCCCAGTCTCACTCTTAACAATAATTTTGTAGTTCAGAGAAATTTTAAATACATGAGCATCAATTCATTTCTTGACAAATTCGTTCATAAATAATTCACAAATCATTTTCTGATAAGAAAATAATCTAATGTACAACCCAGAGATGGGAAATTGACAAGAACTAACCATGCCGGACCGCACTTGTTGAGCAAGATTTTCACCGTACTGTGATACAGTTGCCTGCAACTTTTTTGCTTCATCTTCTAACTTCGACTTCAATCCCTTGAACATTCCAGATTTTTTCTTACCTGCAATATATTTAGCCCTGTAATCCCATATTTTGCTGAAGCCCTTACTGCTTCTATTTTAGTCTAGTAACTAAATATGAGCAACAGGTAACGAAAATTAACCTCATTAAATATCAAGTACATAATAAAAACCTCCATATTTATTACCTAACAAAACATCAGAAAACTAAATAAATTACCTCACCCACATATTCAACCAATTAATTTAACAGCACACTTTAACGAAAAATGCTTACTACGATCTGCATCTGGACTCGAGAATTTAATATTTACTATTTATATTGGAATAAAAAACATTTTATTGAATCATTGCAATGCTCATGCCACCTGTTAAGTATGTAGATTGCAAAGAATGCACTTTTGTAGTGAAACATTAAAAATGAATACAATTATATTTGTAATTAATAACAACAATACTGATATTTGGATCAGCACACAATTTAAGCAACATTTTGAAATGCCTCAGAAATTTTAAGCAGCAATGGTCATGCAAAAGTACATGGTAGTCACATCAATAAAGAAAATCCAAAAACAGCAAAGAAGCCCATTTTACGAAAGAATGAGATCATTTCATGCAATCTGAGCATAACAAGATGAATCCTTTGCTCTGATATTTTTAAATATTTTTGTCTTCATTGACTGTATTCATTAGCATCATCCCGAATTTTCAAACGATACTGCGTTACTTGTTCGATAGTCTGCCTAGCTAACCAACACATATCAAATAAGTTATCAATTGATTTTTGAAGATATTTCACGTCAGAGCTTGCGATATTACTAAAAAAAATTTCACGATGAATTGATATTTTATAATCTTTTAATGCAGATTAAAACTGAATATGCTTGCTTACACGATCAAGTGATGTCCCTGCACCGAATAAGTCCGCACGGCAGTGCTTCTAGATGGTTCCTCGTCCACTGACAAAGTTTTACAAATCATTCTAGCCTGTTGCTCATCTCCCAAGTCAATACATAATGTCCTGGAAAAAGAGAAAAGTTATTTCCATAAAACGTAAAGAGCATTATGAAATTATTTCTGCTTTGTTTCTAGAAAGTTGTTCTAGCTTACAAAGAGAAGAAAATTTGGATTGACAAATTGAAAAACTAACGCTTTATGGCTTTCACTGACAGTATTCTTGCAATCCAAAGCACTTCCCACACTTGAATTATCAGAATAGTCTTCAGTTTCTTGCATTTACTCTACATATATCATTGAAGCATCTGATAGTAGCGTATGCTTAAAATAAGAACTATAGTTCGCATCATCAAAATAAGAGTGAGAAAGAGGTGAGCCAAGAAGCAATATATACTGACATTATTATCATCCATTTATATCTCTGCACACTATATTTTAATCAAGCCGAATTGGAATTAATTCCGAATATATCCAAGTAATAACTATATTTCCCCTAAACTTCACTATTATTGCAAGTAATTCTCAAAGATAACAATCAAAACTCAAGTTTTTACGATTTAAAAAAATGAAATGAAAGCTATTTTATACAGTTATACATATTCTCATGACTTGCCTTAACTCATGACAGGAATTTAAATCGTCTCACGTTATAAAAAACTAAGTAAAGCAAAGTAAGCAGAAACAACGCAATTCCAGCTTACGTCAACTTCAAAAAAAATTTCTCGAAGCTGTCGAGCGATAATGCTTCTTTTTAATAAATGCAGTGCGGTCCGTTACTTGCTGTCACCGTGCATCTACTGACGTGTTGTCAGGGATAGTAAGAAGTGGTTCGTTTTCCATCAACAGTGATTAGATACGGGGAACTGGATTGATTGTGCATACTTTTCTCTGCTAATCAGTTTGCAATCAGCAGACGAGGCTATGATATCAAATAATACATCGCCAATATGATCAAAAAACTGGCATAACCTTCATTAGGTCACGTAATTATTTGGAAGTGCTGTGCCACATTGTTCAAGTAGTTTAACGATAAGGCTTTTATGAGAGGTTTAATGAAGTAGAGTAAGTCACGTGGTGAAGTGAGTTTAGTTTACGTGGACAGAACTATGCAATTCTTGTGCAGCTGCAGATGTGCTATAAAAAGCTTAGATTTAGTGGTCAACTAGAAGTGTAAATTTTTGTTATTTTTATACTAAACAATGTGCCTGGATTAGTTTCATACATAAAATTAATTTATTATTAGCTTCCAAAATTTCGAAGATATGACAAGGCACAGTTTATAAGTTCTCAGGTTGATTTGCGGTGGACCTTATGACATATCCTCTAACATGCAACTTTCTACTCTCGACCTTTGCTGATTTACTGACTGTGAGGAAATCATTTTGTTTGTGGATCCAAGCAAAGACGTCATTTCTTGAGTAGACAGCAGTGACTCAATCTAAGTCTGAGAAGATCTCATATCCGGATCTCATATCCGTACCTACTTCTTTAATGCGTCCCAGCTATTTCGGATGAAGCAGCAGGAAGTTGGAACTATCTCTGTTGCATCTTTACTGCACTTTTTGTTGGTCATTACTTGGGAGAGCTTTGCGTGCTGCTCGATCGAAATGCCTTACAACTAAAGACAACATTTCCTTTCGTCTTCGTGATTGTATCGAATGCTTCGAAACTATTTTACCGAGCAATTCTCAGGCAGCCATCAGTTATCTATCCATCTATGTATCCATCTCATATATATATAACAGTATAAAGATATATAAAGTGTCCAATCAAGTTTCCGAGCGGTTGAGTTGCTGGCTGATCGATCACAAAGCAGGAAATGGAGGATAAACAGAAAAAACGCGAAAAATTGAGATTAAAATCATCAATCAAAACAACTGGAAAGCAGGCAAGGTTGCAGAGAAAAGCTCGGTGACGGATATGAGGAAGCACTCAATCAATATACCGGAATCATCAGGTCTGGATACCGTACAGCGAGAGTGTTGGAACACGATTCAAGGCGAGAATGAAGAAGGCAGAATAGAAGATTAACCTCCAAACTACTGGAAAGGAACACCTCAGCCACTCCAGTCATTCTCTTTCGTTTCCTTCCCGGCATGCTAACCCGATATTTCTCGTTGTCATAACTACTCGTATTTTTGTTTGCGGGTGAAAAAATTTGCATTTTCAGAGTGCTCTAATTCCCAAAAGTTAATCAAGTCATTTCATTTCATTTTGTATTTTACGCATGGTTTTTTTCCAAAATTAACATTACTTTTTAAACACTAACCGTGCTTTGTGGAATCACCTAAAATATTTTATCATTTTAGAGGTAATTTTGGAATAGTTTACATAAACTGTGTTTTTGCGAACAAACTTCAAAAGTTAAAGTTTCAGAATTACATCAGAACTGAAAAAGATTCACTTCTCGAAAGATTCAGTGCAATAAAGCCTTTTAATTTTACTCGCATTTTTTTGCCATATTGAAAATATTAAAGATATGAGTTATCAATCTTTAATAATGAGTTGCTGTTTTGTTTTGGCCCAAGGACTAATTCTTTGCTTATTTTAAATTTCTTTTCAGTTCGGCAAACAGTAAAATTGCTTAAACATCCAATTTTAGTTCTTTTATTAATTTTAAAAGAGATAAAATTATCCTGAAGGATATTTGGAGGACAAATGAAATAAAGTTACATTTCTTTACTTCTTGACTTGTTTTCGTACCATCAGTTCTTCTTCGTGTTTTATTTTAATCCGCATAAATACAAAAAATGATTTAATTGCACGAAGGCAAGTAAACGAATTTTGTAAATAAGCACGTGATTTCCAGTGGTACAGTGTCTATTATGGGAGTCATTTGTTCATTGTCATCTGATGTAAGGATTAAAGAAGTACTTTCTTAACAATAAAATTTTCAGCTCTGCTAATGCCAAAAACTAAGTACTGACTTTTTAATGGGAAGTAGTAGAAACTAAAAGAACGTAATGGGCACGATAATTCATTAAACTCACATTAATTTGAATAAAAAACAAACTATCAATGTCTCTAATGAATAATTAATCGCTTAAGTTTTGTTTCTTTCTACGTTGTTTTTTGTTCGCTTAGAGAAATCATTATTGATACTGTAAATCACAATCACATTATTTCAAATCACTTTCGACTAAACTTCAAAAAAAATCAGCAAAACAATTTGAACTCAACTTTCAAATACAATCAAAAATAAATGAAATCAATTCTAAGATTTCTGATACCAGAGTTGGAAATTTCTAGTTATTGATTTGAAGATTTCTTCAAAGTCCAACAAGTTTTCCCAAAATGATATTGTAATTTAAACTTTCACCACCAAATTCATGACTAGAATAATTGCAAACATGTAGTACTATCTTATTATCCCAATAACTTTCACATTTAAGTTTCACGTCATCACGTGAAGACATTTTTGCTTGTTTTATGCAGCTCTCAATGGATTCAAGTGGTTTATTCTTGACAAATTTCTTCTATGATATTTCATTTATTTGCTTGATTTCCTATTGGAATGGCTAACTTCAAAATAGTCTCCTTTTTCTATTTCTAATGTAATGCCAAAAATAATTGCTTACTGAACGTTACTAAAAAAAAGATATATCTCACTGAAAAATTAAATTCATTCTGAGCTTGCGTTATTTTCTTTGAATTTTGAATTTTAGTCTGCAGTATTCTTGAATTGAAGTACATGTAATACTCAATTCTCAAACAATTTAGTGAGTAATTATTCTTGGCACTCTTTCATTTCATATTACCTTTCATTATTCTAAAAATTTTGCATAATTTTCTCAATTTTTTTCAGTAAATTATGAAAGATTACTACAAAATATATTTATTTTACTAAATCTTTTTGTTATTTTTCACGACAACTTATTTATTTTTACGAAATTGCTTCCAATAAAAGCAGAACTTTGTGAATCTTAAGCAAGCATTTTTAAATTATAATTAGGCTAAATTCAATAGTGCTACTTTTCTCCTTTATTATTTGCCTCTTTGGCATTGGCTGTAGTTGAAGCAATCTTCGGAAACTCATCCTTCATCGCTAATAGTGTTGAATTATCACTAACGGTACTGTACGTATTTTTAAAAAATTATTTTATCAAACTATTCCACGTAAACTTTTCGAAATTTGTCTTGCAAGTCAGTGTTTTTGTGAACAACACGAGTAGTGATTATCGAACACCATAAAATAACAGAAGAGCATAATTTTTTCTTCCAATAATAAGTCTAACTTTTTACTCAAAAAATTATTTGTTAATTACTACAAGATCTCTTCGTTTAAGTTTTTGCATGTGAATACTTTTTGTTGACTCACAACGGTCTTAAGTATTTTAAATGGCTTCATAGTTTGTAAGTAATTTGTTGCCATCACGAATATCAGTCAGTAATCTGAAAAGATTCCACACAATAAATAATTCTTTCATTCGACATATTAAAACTTTACTTCAATATGGAATGGTACTAACTCAAATATCATAAGCAACACAAAGTTATTGCAAATATTACGAATATAATGGAGTAAGGGAGTAAGGGAAATTAGTTATCTTGCTGACAAGTAATCGCATTTTCCTGCCCTAAAAATAATTATATTATCATTATAAACAGACTGAGTACTGATCATTCAGTAAGAAGTTCAGTGTTCTCGCTCGAGTTTTCAGATGCTAGTGCATTTTAACGTAAAGCACCGGTCGTGGAATTGTGCTCTGGTTTTTTGTTACTTGTGAAAAGCAATTTGCAAAATTTCCTTTTAAATTATAATTTCACTTCTTTTTTTTATATTATTTGACGTGAATAAATTAATACTATTGTGCATTTTCATGCCAATTTTCGGTAATTCATATTATTTTCAAGCTCAGTCAACGTAATCAAATCACGTTGACTTTAATTTTATGCACTATCAGTAAAATATTGTTGTATATTTAGCTTCATACTAAAGTTTTCACGTGATGTGCACTAAGTACTCCATTCACTGTACAAATTTATTTTCACTCAATTCTAAAGTAAACTTGACTCTTATCAATTTTTACCTCACAAAAAAACAAAGTGACTTCTAAAATGAATTCATTTATTTCCACTCAATAGTCGTCAACAGTGTTGGAAAAATCATTAAAAATTCTCAAGTTTCAGCAATTTTTCACAACAGCATCACAAATTGGAGAACATCGCGATTGAGCACCTAAAGAATTTCTAGACATGTTTAATACCCTTATAATATTTTAATAAACGATATTGCACTGTGAAAAAAATCATTTTCATACTTTTTATGTCCTAGTAATGACTTAATTTTTTTACGGTGGATATATCTAAGATTACTAACGAATGAATCGAGCATAAATTTGCATATTATTTACTAATATTGCCAAACCTTGATCATCAAATGACTACAGGGATTCAAGAAAGCGATATCGATATAATACCGTAAGTCGAGTGTGTCCATCAGTTGATTCAGAAATGCGTCCGACATCCACTTTACTATTACTAGTCTTTGCCTTCGACGTTCACTTTGTCCGGTCATTTTTCACCTGGCGATTGAGCGATGGGTACTTTTTGTCCCATTATTACTTTAACTTTTATCTTGACAGCAATACCGTAATCTCATGACTGATACTTTTTTCTATAGTTAGATTATTTTTCTACTACACTTCACAAAATTGCACAATTCTTGCAAAGATTTAATATATGAAATGATAATTCTTCATAATAGTTGCTAGTTTGAAGGTTTAATTAAATAATCATAAATAGATAAATAATATATTATATACATAAAATACTGTTCGGCTCTGCCGACTTGCCAAGCGGTTGAGCTGTCAACTACTTGATCGCATACCAAGCAGGAAATGGAGGATAAACGGAAAAAACTGAGTCCGGAATCATAAATGAAAACAAATGGAAAACAGGTGAGGTTGTTGAAGAAAGCTCCGTGAAGGACAGATGAAAGCATCCGACCAGCGTTCAGGAACCGACAGAACTGAGTGTCGGAACACAATCCAACATGAGAATCATGAAGACAGAAAAGAAGATTAACCTCCGACCTGCTGCACATGACATATTATATAAACTATTCTTGTATTATATATTAAATACCCAAGTGATGTACTTTATAGGTTAGATGAACCGATGGCAGTGTCACGTAAAATACGTGCAAAAGAAATTTCTCCGCCAAGTTACATGAAACGTATGGAAGGTGCGCATGATGAGCAATTGTTGCGGAACTATTGGCTGAAAGAAGTAAATACAAGGATGAGAAAGCATGAATATCCATTGCGAAGTTCTCCTTACTTGTCCTTCTGGCCAGAGCCATGAAATTGAACATCAAGCGTATTTTTGCCCAAAACTTTCGCCTTTTGATTACAACTATTTACATTTTACTGTTGCTAGCATTATTCGTTGTGCATAATTGTGCGAAAAAATAAGTTGGGCACGCCAAAATTTTAGTAGTGTATGGATATTTGTATAAATGGATAATGTAATCTTGTACAAAAGTTATGATAAGTAAGTATTGCTGTGACAGAATAGCATTTTGGAAAGGTTGCAAAGAAAAACGAATTGATTATTTAGTATTCATTCGATGAGCAAAATTCTCTAAGAAATGAATTCGAATTGCCCAAACATGAAATAACGAGCTGAGCTGGATTTGTAGTTGGCTAATTACTTCTTAACTGTACGTTTTTGCTATTTCGGCTCATTATATTAATTGAAAGTAATGTTTATTGTCACTATCTTTGCATGTCTCCACTATTTGCCACTTTTTATAAGCTATAATTTTATGAACGCAGTGATAAACATGACGATGAAAATGTAGCAGATTAATTAAGCAGTCGGAAAGTTTTCGACAGACGCAGCCACAGTGAATTGATAATACTCACATAAATGTGAAATGATACTAATCGAGAATATTCACAGAAAGAATTCAAAAATTTGCATTAATTTTTGTGAATAATCTAAATTAAACGAATTAGTCAAATATTATTAACCGTTTTGTGAGTAATAATCAGTAATAATGCAATATCCAGCAAAAGTTTAATTACTTCTTTGTCTCTTAAACATGGAATGTGTGCCTTCAGTACTCTCTAAAAGGTAAACAAAAAACAGAAATGCAATGTTAATTGCTCAAACATACTTTTGTCTCTAAACTACTCCACCAAAGCCAATTTTATGCAAAAATCATTAAAAAAATCATGAATTTTTCCAAAGACTTTATGCAAATTTCCAAAACTCAGTTGAGCTGATTTAAAGGCTATATTAATCCCTTAGTTCGTGGCCACAAATAATACAACGATTATGATAGTAGTCTGAAATAGTAATCATGATTAAAGCTTAGCGGTACAATTCAAAATTTGATGGATTTTCAATGTAGGAGAAATGAGTATGAATCTGGTAAATGGAAATTAAAATGAAGCTATAAAAGTGAGCATTCTTATTGAAAATGAATCGGAAAATGGAAAGAAATCAATTATTGATATTATGTAAAGGATTTTTTCAAAGATTAAAGCCACACACTTCAAGCCTGTCATTTTTTGTCATTACTTTAAGAATATCATCTTGACTTACTGCTCTAAACTTAGTTTGTTTGCACAGTCAGTCAGTCATCTTGAGATCACTTCGCAAACCGTCCACTATTTTTTCCAAATCTTTCAGTTTTTTACATTTGTCATCTGGCATACTTTTACTTCATTTTATTTTCCACCTCAAAACCTGCTGTCATCAGTAGAATCTAAGAGTATTCTCAGATGCTATCCGAACATTTGCCTCTCCGAGCAGTTCTAAGACTGTTCCAATCACTTTTTCATATCTCAAAATGCAAAAGTTTTCTTTTTTTCATCCTTCTCACAACCAATCTTCAAAAATTTGCATATGGCAGTACTGACGAAAAACGTTTGTACACTGACTTACTTGCTGATTACAATGCACTGGAACGACCTGTGAGTAATTCAAGCATTCCATTAGTAATCAAAATGCGACTTTTTCTGCAACAAATTGTCGATGTAGACGAAAAAAATCAAGTTGTGCAGATCAACGCGTGGATCCGATATGTTAATTTTATATCCATTCATAGCAGTCTTCATGTTTTCGTCAAAATTGCTTTCAAAAATGAACTTCACAGAAAAAATTTTTGCAAAATTTTTTGTTAACAACAACTTTTACATTTTTTGGAAATAAATTTTCCATAAAAAAATCAGTCTTAAATTGCAGTTAATGAATGCAAATATTCAAAACTAATTTCTTCAAATCGAATTTAAATTTATTACAAGCTTTATGCACATAGATTTGGGAGGATTACAAGTTGAAATGGGATCCCGAAAAGTATGCAGGCATCAAAGATTTACACTTTCCCGGAAATGACGGACAAATATGGAAGCCGGATATATTGCTGTACAATAGGTAATATCAGCATCAAGTTTACACCTAATTGAGTTTTGTTTAGAAAAGATGGAGAACAAAATCTTATAAACTGATTAAGAAGAAAAATATAATTTTGCTAAAATGATATGATAGAACTTGAAAAAAATATTATTTTTTGTTTAGTAAAAATACTTGGAAAATTTTGCATAAATATACTTGTTCACTTGCTTACAGTGCTGACGACAACTTTGATTCAACTTTCAAAAGTAATTTACTAGTGTACAGTAGTGGTGAAATTAACTGGATACCGCCTGGAATACTGAAATTTAGTTGCAAATTGGATATTACTTGGTTTCCATTCGATGATCAGATTTGCGGTTTGAAGGTGTTATTTTGTTTGAATCGAGAGACTATTTACCACCTTACATTTATGTATGCATATAAAATATGTATTCAAATTTATATTCAAGAATAAATAATTAAAGGAAAATATTTTGCTATCTTTCTCTGTTATAATGCCTTGGAAATTAAAAAGCATGAAAAGCATCATGAATTTTTGATTGAAATTAAAACTATTATTGGATTATTTAGTTTGGCTCATGGACGCATAATGGTTTTGCGCTTGATTTGCAAATTGATGCAGATGACGACAATTCAAGTAAGGTTAAATTTTCATGACGAACTTGCCATTGACCATTGATGAAGTTTCTTAAATTTGGACCGTGATATAATTTTTTGCGCAAGTTGCGAATCATTTGGCTAATTTTTTGCGTAAGAAATGCTTTCTGATGAAAAAAGTATTTGGGGCATTACACATGAATATTCAAGCTCATCAAATGGACATCAGTGATTATGTGCTTAACGGAGAATGGGATTTAATTGCTACTCCTGCTGTACGCCAGGTAAAACGATTCGTGTGCTGCCCGGAACCCTACCCAACAATCACGTTTTATTTGCATATCCGACGTAGAACACTTTATTATGGTTTGTGAGATTAACTAAAGTTTGACAACTTCCTTTTCACAAGTATACTAATGAACGAAATTATGTAATAGATTTCAGACTGTAATCAAATGTAATCAATCATAAATACGAAGTTGATTTCCTTGATAAGATTCATATTTATATTTATTATTCTTCTTCATGGGCAAGACCAAACAAAAGGGTGTCTGAAAAGCTGAATTTCTGACGAATTCTGATACTTTTTCCAAGCTCATCGATGCAGTTATAAAACCCTCAAAGTTTTCACCTCTTGTAACTTATTATTTTGAGGGATACAATTCAAAATTTGATAAATGTTCAATGTAAAAGAAGTAAAATTGAATCTTTTAAAGTAAAATTAAAGTGAAACAATAAAAATCAGCATTCCTTATTAAAAATAATGAATCAAAAAATTGATCAAATATCTATTACTTTCTAAATCTGCAACTCTTTATTAGTTGTGGAAACTAGCGTCTAAAATGAAACTAAATTCACTGAATTTTCAGGTTTTAATCTAATAATACCAAGTCTACTAATCTCACTAATGACAGTTCTTGGTTTCACACTGCCACCAGATGCTGGAGAAAAAGTTACATTAGGTTTAGTTGCAGATGAAAATAGAATGTGCTCGCTGCAATCTTCTGCGGCTTTAAATTTTCCATAAAATTTTAATTTATTTTCATACAAAAATCTATACAGTAACATTTAGATTAATAAATATTAATTAATGTCTGATATGCTTTTTACAGAAATCACTATTTTATTATCAGTGGTATTCTTCTTAAGTATGGTAGCAGAAATGACACCCCCAACTAGTGAGGCTGTGCCATTGATTGGTTTGCTCAGTTCTTCTTCAACTGCTTTAAATACAACCAAAATGAAACTTTTTATTCGAAAAAAGAGTAATTAATTAAAGATTACTGATAAGTAATATGATAAATAATAATAATAGACCAAATGCTTGAGGAGTGTTTTTCTCTTGCTGCATGTTGGTTGTCTCCGCGTCCGTTGTCTTCACCGTTGTCGTATTGAATTTGCATTTTAGAACACCAGAAAGCCACGTTATGACTCCATTTGTACGTTTTCATTATCTATTTTGTTTTTCATATTTTCACTTGAAAATCTTCAAATACACAATATAATCATCAAATTATGTAAACTTCTGAGTAGTAATGAGTGAAAAAATTTTTAGTTTTGCAAACAAAAGACGAGATTATTATTTAAGGTAAGACGTGTATTACTGGAATGGCTTCCCTGGCTGATGATGATGTCGCGTCCAGGTACTGTATACAGTTGCGGTGAAGCATTTGCAGAATCAGAAAATAGCAGCAGAACGAAAGAAGACGATTTCGAGCTCATTATGGAAGGAGTGTTCCCAAGTAGCAGCACTTCTGATACACAAATCTTGCTTCTTCACCGACTTTATTTGCAGTTAAAAGAGGTACGGACATACGCACATATTATACTATCTTTCATTAATACTACTCATTTCACATAAAACACAAATAAGTAGGCTGAAGAAAGTTACAGTTAATCACAAAGTTACAAGATTAACTAGCAGTAAATTTGCATTTACAGATTAATAATCGTATGGAGGAAGAGGAAGAATCACAACGTCTTCAGAATGACTGGAAATTCGGAGCAATGGTTGTTGATCGTGCTTGTTTGATTTGTTTTTCTCTATTCATAACACTATCAGTGTGTTCAATCATGCTCACCGCCCCTCATTTAAATGCTTAACTATGAACTTTTACTACTTGTATTTCTTTTATTAAAACAGTATTGTGAGTGGTTAACAGAATCTCAAACTTTAAATTGTTAGGAGTATCAATTTACAATAATCTGACTTGCTACCTACGAAAAATTCTAACTATTACACAAATTATAAATACTCATGCTTAGATAATAATTATAATAGTAAGGTAGAATCACAACAACAAAAAAAATAGTGATTTTCAGAATGAACGCAACAACTTCATATTACAATTATAATAGCATGACTCTACAGGGAATCATTTGTCATTATATGAGTTAGTTCTCATGGTAATGGTAGAAGAATATCCTAATGGAAACAATAACTGCATTTGCTTACAAAATCATACTCTGATGAATTGCCGAATTTTTCATTCTTCAGTTAACTAACTCTACAAATATAAAATTTTCGTGGGCGATAGTCGCGACGAACACTAAGAAGCTTCGTCCACTTAAGCGATACTCAATCTCAGAAAACACATTAGCTCAAACCAACAGGAGTACTTGAGTTTGATTTCAATCATTTTGACAGAAAATTAACTAAATCATTGTGAGGAAATTCAACACTTCCTCACAGAAAGACTTGAATTCCAACCCAAAACTAGTTGTAATGTTACAATTTTTTCTGTGTCCTAATCCTTCATGTGCTCCAAACTACAGTAGTTCGTGAAATACTCATGCAGATAAAACGAACTTCCTTACACTTATCTGGAAAAACCATAACATGACATCACAATCAAGAATGTGGACATCTTTTCTAGATAATCCAAACCTAATCATTTGAATATTTTGAGATTAATGGTATCTAAAAATGATATTTTCAGCCTCGAAGATATAAACCATTTATTCTATTAAGAAACGCATTTACATTTACATAAATGTGACCTGATTCGTGATTTGTTCTAGTCGAAATTATTTGTTCACGGCAAATTGGTTATCATGGTCAATAAGCGTATACGTTGAATGATTGAAAAACATATCGTTGATCTACAGATTCTTTAAATTTCTCATCAATAGTATGGCACTATGCAAGTGAATGATTCAGTACTATTAATTTGGAATTCTTTTTTCATTCTACTCGATGTCAATTATTTAAATGGAGAGAATGTAGTATTGATTGATCGAATCAATATTGACTGATATTTCTCGTTCCAAAATAAAATTAATGAAGCATTATTACGTTGATTTGAGAACTACACCGAAATTTACATTCAGTAGTTCATATACCCGTGACAGATTACTTTCTAATCCAATAAAGAGTAAGTATATTTACTTCAGAATTAAATATCAAGAATACAAATAACACGAATCATCACTGCATAAAACCTAGAAAATAAAAATAAGAATCTATGACATTAAATAACATGCAACTCCAAGATCTACATAAGTTATATATTTTGAAATATACAGTTCCTTGGACTGTTTTGTTTACTGTTTCGTTGAAATTGTCCATTAGATTTTTTTCGATGGACACCAAAATCAAGGTGAAATATTAACTGTGCTTCAAGTACATTAATATTTCACCTTAAAACTTAAAAAACGGATGCAAATTTTTCAACAAAAAAATCAAAAATGGGAGCTACAACGTATAATTTCTTGATGAATGTTTAGCAGCTCGGAAAATTTCCAAGTTAAAACAAATTCCAATTTTTTTGATTTCTTCTCTTGTTAAAATTAGAGCATTTTGGAACGTTCTAGCTTGATCTTCTCAATGTGCTCTTCGTCATCGACCAGTATGCGATCCACTAGAGAACTTGGAATATTATCTTCAATCCATTTCAGTTCTTCCTGTAAATAACAAGACATAAAGTGTGATAGTGATAAACAAAACTGAGTTCACACACACACACTTGTTCAGTTCATAATGAAAAAATGCGTGGCTTTGATTTACTTTTTTTTCTGTTCATTTTTCGATAAAAATAGCCTAATTCATTTTGAAGCTTTGGTGAAAAAACACGAATACTGGCTTATAGTAAAAAAGTAAAACAACCAGTTTTAATAGAAAACAACTACTTTCACAATACCTGTATTCTACGATCACTCTCTTGAGACTCATGGTGTTTTGTATTAGAGCTTTCTTGGCCATGAATAATAATTCCTTCATTAACGGATCGCTGATTTAATCCAACCATTGCATAGTAATTTGTATTGAACAGTTCATCTACAAATCAAGAAAAAAATTGCATAGTAATTTGTATTGAACAGTTCATCTACAAATCAACAAACGGAGAAAGCAGAAAAAATATCTATTATTCATACAATGAAAAAAGAAACTCATTTTAAATGCAAAAGTATTCATTCGAAATTTCATGGACTCTTTTTACTTGTGTATGTTACAATTACTGCAGCTCAGACTTTGTAAACTTAACCTTCGTCATTCTCATCTTCACTATCATCAAGCAAAGGAGTGAAAGCATATCGCTGATTGTTACGAGATGGACGCCATAAAATCATGATGACAACCAAAATGCAGCAAAATTGAATATGCCAAAATGCTGTATCTAACCAACTAAAAAATTAAATTACAAATTTTAGATGAATTTCAATTAACCTTAATATGTTACGTGCGATACCTAACAAAAGTACAAATTCTTAAATAAACAAGTACATAAGAAAAAAATGGCGACCCACTATTTCTTCCAGTCATTCTGACACTGCTGAACTTTATGAACGTAACTAGTCCAGCACATGAATATCACACTCATTAATGCAGAAAGACATAGTGCATTTGTGAAATGACGATATACGGAATGTTTTACCTTAAAATGATTAAATATTTGTCAGACAAAATGAAATCAATTAATGTAAAAAAGAAGCTGCTATACAAAAAAGTAACCATTTGAAAAGAAAATGATGCAATCGATGTGTTGAAAATCATTTTTTTTACAATGAATTTATTTTAAATCATTTGTTTGATCTTATACTTCAATTACAGGCACAATAAATCTTACTTGTTAATTTGAGTACACTACAGTAAATTACTTTATTTATTGGCATAATAACAGTATTCCTTCTTATTCACGCAACTTCACTTACCATATTTCTTCTCATTCTTAGAGTACGCATAGTATTGATGAGAGACAAAAAAATCCACCAAAAAATAACTACTTCAAGTATCACTAGGGGTACAGCCGTTAACTGCCGTTGTTTAAGCCCTTCAACCTGGTTCTGGAAAAAAATAACCAGTGCAGAAAATTGAGAAACTAAGAAGAAATTACTGTTCCAAAACATTTACAAATCATAAATTTTCATGCTTATTGTCAGTTATTGAGAAAAAAGTGTTTTAAATTTTATTTCATATGTCTTCCATCATCTATCAGAAAAATTTGACAAAATTAACTTACTTTACTTACTCTGGCTAATGCTTCAATGGCACTGAATACAAAGTAGATAATGCCTACACTAATTACCTGAAAAAAATCAGATAAGAAAGCATGGTAAAAAGCATGGTTTGTAAT